AATACCAACTTAGAACCAGTCATTTGTGCAGAGATATCACGTTAGAGAGTAGAGTGAAGTTTTGTATCAGATGAGCTAACTGAGATGTATATTCCCCCCAAAATATTTTATAGAACCTTCAGGTTTAAGTTGAACACCTTTATAAACATGTGCGCAGGAGTTGGCTCACTATCCAGAGAGTATTACTCAAATGTTTTACGTCATAATAATATCAGACGGTCGTCTGTGCTTTCCAAAAGCTCATCCTTATCCCCATCAAAAACTTATCTCTATCGCAACAGTCTCAACGAGCTTAACGATGGAATCGACTATTATTTCGAAAAATTTACTCGTGAGCAATCTACAGGTTGAACTGAAACCAAAGCGTGTATCTATACTGAACTTGAGACTGTTACTTTTTCAAGTGTTAGCACTGGATTTGTCTCTTTTCGTTTTCTCCATCATCAAAACCAATTTTGAAATGAAACAGTGCCCTTCATGTCGTATTTTTGGAACTGATAACAGTGCAGAATTTTTTCTCACGCTACCGATGCGGTTATCTCAAGACTCAAGATTATATTTATATTTATGAGGAAGGGGAATTGACTCAGTTGAAAGTTTTTGCTTACATTTGCTTGGTTTTTCATTGAAGCTGCCGATCATAATAAAGCCGTGCAGACGCGCAGGATTGTGATAAGCTGCTCTGGGACAAGAATATTTTTGAAAATGACCTCTTGTTTGGTATCGATAACATATTTTATGATTTAATGTTGCAATGGATTTCAGAAGGACGAATCTGAAGAAGTTGCTCAATTTCGTCAATTTTATATGAGCACTGCATTGGTAGTTCATGGTACAGGTTCGATGCCTAATTACGATATTCTCAACACACAAGCAATGGTCCAAAGATGCGCCGTTTTAAAAGCATTCAAAGAGCAGTACGTAGTCGATGCAAATCCAATCAAATTGATTGCGAATCAACATTTAAAAATGCTTGATGTTTTTTCATACGCTGTTGATTTGGTCGGCGATCATGCAATCGATTAATCCAGTACTGTTGCAATGCGGGATATTCATAATTATTTTACTTTCACCCAATTCGAATAGTTCACGCCTCTTACTCTGTGCTTTCATTATCGTACGTGCTACGCTGCACAGTTGCAATTTTACATGGTAGCGAAAAAATTTGGTGCACTTTCTTCACATGAGGGTTCATTGTTCACATGAGAAATTTTGTTGAATGTCAGCTTAATGTTCTATAATAAAAGTGCTCTTATCATTTTCAATAGAATTGTAGTATAATATCACTCTGATACTGTAACTATCATAAATGGATCAGTTGCTAAACATGCATACCTTGAAAGTCGAGCTTGCAGGCATCTCAAATTTGAGCTTACACCATTTCATAGTAACATGGTGCCTGAACTAAAATCCTGTAATAGTAAAGGATCATTGCATAAATGAATTGACTGCTTCGATCGTAGCCTCGAAAATTAATTATTCAAACTTTTCTTCACAAGTGTTACCATTACTTCACTTGGTGAAGCCTAATTAAAAGAGATAATCGACCTGAGACGAAGTAACAACTGAGGAGGGAGAGTGGATGCAACGACGAAAATAAATTGAAATTGAGATATGAAAATATGAAAACAACCACACATATAGTTCTTGACTATGATTGTTTAAGGTATATTTAGTGTATTGTGAGGTACGAGGAATTTCTGGGACCTCGTCTTCGACATTTTTAAACATGACCGCATTTTTGGAGTCCCCGACTGCAAATTTCGGCCCCTACTTTTCCGGGGTTTCTGGGAATTCCCACCTTCTGAAAAGGCGTCAAAACCGCGAATTTGAAGCGGTTTTACCAACGATGTTCGCAAGGCTAATCGTGCGAATTTTTAAGCTTGTCTATTCAGAATCTTGTGCTTGTACTCGTGATTAGACATTCGTACTATGTGACCATGGAGTTGAGTTGGAGACCTCTGAGGGCATCAGACCTAAGCGTTGGCAAGTTTTCCGAGTCACTCGGCCCTACTTTCGGTGGTTCCAGAGCCCTTGCCTGTTAACATATTACGTAAACACTATACATTGCTAATTTTGCTTCGATCGAAGTTAGGCCTTGATCAATGAACTTATCAAAAACAAATAATGAGATTAATTCGTCTTTACCGTCGAGTGAATGGCAACTTACTTCAACAGTCTCCTTCATTTTCTGCTTCTGTTCACTGCGCCATGCATAAAATAGCGTTGGAGAGAAGGATTGCAATTCTACAAGAACAAGATTTTCACTTCGTTGATGAATAAAGACAACTCCCACGATGAATTCTAGGCGATTTGATGTTATTATTATTACGTTTATCATTACTCTTATTGTCATTAATACTACTGCTGCTAACAACATTGTTATTATTATCAGCATCATCATTATTATCGTTTTCACTGCTTTTTATACCACACCTCATAAAATTGTTAAACCAAATATGACACATTCATATGCGGTATTGCGTAATTAGTGCTGCAACAACGGTTGTTTGCATCAACAGTAGGTTCCAAAATCAATAAAGTCCAAATCCTGGATCACACGATGAATGCTGGTGGGCTAGAATGGGTAATCCAACTCCCGGTTCGATGTTTTACGGAAATGTGGTATTTGTCCTACCAAATCACATTGGAAGTTTCGAATACGACTGCATTGTGAATTGTGCACGCAAAAACGTGCATGCTACACTTTCAACAACAAATATTCTATGCTATAACTCAGCAATGCACCCAAACATAACCAGTTAGTATGAAATTTTATGAAAGCAGAAAAATATTCACTACTTGATCACAAGACATTTCAAAGCCACAATTGAGCATTAGTGAAGGGATCTGAAGTGAACTTTGAAAATGCAGCGACTGAATGGAATGATTAAAATTTTCGAAGATTTATCAAATCACGTTTTTTTTCAACCTCTGCATTTCTTTATGAACCTGGCTCAACGTCCTTCTCAAATTGAGGAATATGTCTGAACTCTTCTTAAACCACCAAGAGATGCATTCAACTCATTAACATCACAAGAAATGTCGTTCATCACGGAAGAAGTATTGTACCGGTTGAAAACACATTCGTAAGCTATAAAAGGATTAGGAATTGTAAAAATTGAAAAAAGAAATCGATAACGCCAAATTCAGAAATGCTCGATCGTCCTACATCAAACCAATGATCTTTCCTGTCGTACCAAAGAGCTCAATCAATTCTTATTGCTCATGAGAGACGATGTCAACCAATATGTTAGTTAATATTTATTCGAGCTATTGAGCTGAACAATACAATAATGGCGGTGGATATATGATACAATAATGAAATATTAAAGTCCAATCTTAGTTATCAATAATCTTTCGAAGCTTTAAGTAGGATATGAATTCAACACTTTTGGCGAGCACTCTTGGCTGACGATACGTTCGACTGATTAGGCTCTCTCAGATTATCCGACTCTTCTTCTGTCGATTCGATTGCCTTCTTTCATCGCCATTGTTCCGTCTTCTATTCTCAAGTTTCTAAAAGATCATATTTGTAGATAACGCCTTCTGATACACTTTCTCAGAGGTTACCGAGATCCAGATATTCCAGGGTGAGTCAAACATTTTGAGCGTTCTTAGTTGGTAGAACAGTGATCCTTGCCTTTTGATTTACTCGTCATCATGAGGCTTTGTCCCCGAGATGCGCTGATTGATGGTTTGTTCAATGCTCATAAAATGCGCAGCTGCGGTCAGGTGAACAGGCGTGAAATTTTCTGTTAGGTTACTACTCAACATGTGATGAAAGGTTGTCGTTGGGATATCGGGTATTATCTGATGAGACTGCAAGAGAGAGAAGATACTATTACTTATTGATGAGACCTGTGAATCAGGTATGATAGTTTTAACACCAATCAATTGATCTACCTGATAGAGACTACCCGATATTTGGACAGGTATATAACGTGCAAGAGTACACGGGATTGTTTTCGGGAGTTCAGATACTATCATAATAGTTAGATCCAAGAATCCCTCACTTGCATGATCGGAGACTGTTACTTCAACAAGAGGAAATTCATAACACGTGTCATTATAAACAGGATTTAGGAATGAAGGAGAAGTTTGTTGCTGGAAGACAAGGCCAGACTTCTAGGGTTGTAGAAGCAAGTCTTGCGTGAATGTATGTTTCATTGAGAATAGCGCGTGCTGCAAGCGTAGGGTTTTGTGCAAGTAATACTCGCTTTTGACTAGCTATATTATTCGTTATTTCGCAAATATGCATTACATGATGCTGGAAAGATAGCATCATAGACTGGGTCATAGTTAACTCAAGGGCTTGTAGTTGTGAGGTCAACTGATTAGTTGTAACTGATCCACTTATTGTTAGAGTGAATGGTGAGATTGATCGCCTCAACCTATTATTGAGCGCAAGAAATTCAGTCCAGGAGACGGCATAAGCCTGATGACTTACTATCAAGTCAATACCACAATCATGTATGATATTCTTTTGATTGATGAAGGACAGAGCGAATTCTCTAGACTGGGCAATAATCCATGCGTTACCAAAACTTTGTCCCTCCCATTAAAGTATATACTTTAATGAATTGACACTGCTGTTGTTTGAGAGGAGACCAAGTGAGAAGTGAATTATTACTTAGGGCACAACTGCCAACATCATATTTACAACCATTCATATCTCCAACAGGAATAAAGAGTTCTTCATTGATAATCTTTGAAGATAAAATTTTGATAAACTTTGTCTGAATTAGGAAACAGTTAATTGCCTCTATTTTTCTTTCGCTAAAGCTTTCTATTAGTGGGTACAGGAATTCTAAGTCAATTCTATTATCCGTCTGGAGTATCCCTCGTTTAAGAATTGACTCACCATAACTGCATCGTTTGTGTCTAGTCATCATATCGCTTTCAACTGAGAATGCAGCCATATGTGTTATCTCTGTTCTAGTGAATTTATCATTAAATAAGTGTAATAGTAGATGGTTTGTTTAATTATTCGACGGATGGATGCATTGGTATGATCCCTTATAGTGTTAGGTCTATAGATCGTGAAAGTAGTATTGATTATCTTGGTGTGTCTGCATAGTCAATTTGAGGACGTGGCATTGGGTCTGGTATATGACAGAACATTTTTGATTTATCGACTTGGCATAGTAATGGTAGTTGCGCTTCCTTACTAGGATTATTTACAAATGCTTCAGCAAGGGATGTATGAGGCTGGAGAAGAACAACAACATACATGTTTTTCTGAATCTAAGGATTCCGCGGAATCGAATGGTTTACAGAAATTGATATTATAATAATGTAGAGAGATATGTTAGTAATTTGATAGTATGAAATGTGGGGAAGTAAAGTAGACGATGAAGGAGAATGTTCATATTTCGGCCCGTATTCGTTGGCATGTTCTCCCGGGTTATGCATAGGCCATCGTCAGAACAATATGCGTAATCATGATAGAAAGAGAAGTGAGGAGGAAGTTATTATTAGATAAGAGTATGAAGTATTGTATGGAAAGGTGTTGGAAGCAGATTTGTAAGGTTGTACTGAGTAGTAGGCGGGAGTTGTGGATTGTGGGGCGTTGAAGATGTGATGGTGTGTAGGTAGAATGAGCCGTAGCTTGCAGAGGAAATCGGAGTTATGAAGACTGAGTGGCAAAATAAAGTTTAAAAAATGTGAAAGTGGGGGTGGGTGGATGAAGGTTTGGTTATATTGAGAAAGTGGTGTAGCGAGTTTATGATTTATGGTGGATTTGTGGTGTACTTGTTGAAATGTTACGGAGCAAACTACGTACGCAGAATTGCTCAACAAAGTACATATTTTTCTGAATCTAGAGGTGCCGCGAAATCGAATGGTGTACATAAACTGATATGTTACTGAGCGAAATTGAAAGTACGGTTAACTTGAAGATCCACAACAGAAATTAAACATTACTGATGAGTGTCACAAGAAACAAGCTTAACGCATTCATTTGTACTTCATGCCTACCCAAAACCGTAACAAACTCAATTCGAATTCACTATGAATGGGACATT